TTAAGGCAATTTTCTCTTCCTCACACGCCAGGAGTCCCAATCTAAACAGGCCAAACCTAGGGTAGGTTTGCACAGCAACTAAAAACCTGTGGCTGGCCCATGCCAGCCGACTCAGGCTTGCAGGGCTCAGGTTGCCGGGCTGATTCATTGCTGTGTAGACTTCTGAACTCAGTTTGGAGCCCAGGCTCCAGGACTTGGCAGCCCGAATCCCACAAGCCTGAGTTGGCTGGCATAGGCCAGCCGTAGGTTTTTCTTTGCAGTGTAGACGTATCCATAGGCTACCTGGAGGCTCAGTCTAGACCAATTAACAACTGTGGTCAGGGAAAACTGCCTTCTTCTCTTTTGAAGTTATCTAGGTGTCAGGTCATAGTCATAGAGTGTAAAGCTAGAAGGGATTACCAGATCATTTAGTCCAACCTCCTGCACACCATAGGCCACTTAACAGCACCCAGCCACTGCCACACCAAATCCAACAACCAGAATTAGACCAAAGTATTACAGCTCTCAGGAGCCTAAACTATTCTGTGCCACAGGCAAAGAACAGGAGGGACTGAGGTGGCAGGCAAGTGATTGTCAGATATACCCAGAAGATCCTAGCAAGTGACCCACACCCCATGCTGCATAGGAAGGTGACCTGCTTTTTCTCTCTCCTCCCCTGCCTCCTCGATCCCTGCCACTCTGACCTGGGAGAAAATTCCTTCCCAATGCTGCACATGCACATCAGTTAGAGCCCGAGCATGTGAATAACACTCACCAGCCAAGCATCTAAGAAAGATAATTTTCAATATTGCCTCAGAGCACTGACCCACCCCATCCAGTGTTCCACCTCCAGCTGTAGCCATTTCTGATGCTTCAAAGGAAGGAGGGAAAAAAACCCCAAACCTCCAGAATATATTGTGGGGAAAAAATCCTTTCTGATCCCTACAGATGACCAGCGGAAGCCTTGAAGCATAACATTTTAGAACTGTAAGATGTAAACCAGAGAGGACCGCCAGGCCTCCTACCACTGCAGGCAACCTCATCATACACTTTACTGAAACGTACCAAGCTCTGTCTTAAAGCTAATTAGGCTACCTCCACCTACAACTCCTATTGGAAAGCTGTTCCTGAACCTCATCCCTCTGAAGGCAAGAAACCTTCTAATTCCCAGCCTAAGTTTATTCATGGCTAGTTTATACCCATTTGTTCTTGAGCCAACATTGTCCTTTAACTTAAATAGCTCTTCGCCCTCCCTGGTGTTGACCCCCTCCCCGTACCGATGTATTTATAGAGAACAATCATATCCGCTTTCAACCTTCATTTTGCTAGACTAACCAAGCCAAACCCTTTTAGTCTCCTCTTGTAAAATAGGCTCTCCACTCCTTTGAACATCTGAGTAGCTCTTCTCTGCATCTGTTCAAGTTTCAGTTCCTCTTTCTTGAACACAGGTTACCAGAATTGTGCAGAGCAGTCCATATGAGGTCTTACCAGTTCCTTCTACAGTGGAATTACTACTTCCCTATTTCTACTGGAAATACCTTGACTCATATATCCTAGGATTCCATTTGCCTTTTTTACAGCTGCATCACATTTGTGGCTCATAGTTATCTTGTGATTGACTAACATGCCTAGGTCTGTCTTTTCCTTTGCTACTTTCAACAGTTTAGCCCCCGGCTTATATCAGGAATTCTTATTAGTCCCTAAGTGCATGACTTTGCATTTAGAAATGGATGGGATTTAATAGTACTATGACTCCACACCTTAAGGTCATCCAGTTCTTCTTGTATAATATTCCAATCTTCCGCTGTATTGACAATGCCTCCCAATTTGGTGTCATCAGAATATTTCATTAGCACACTCCTACCTTTTGTGCCTAGATAATTGATAAAAGTATTAATGAAGTTCAGTCCCAAGACACTCTACTAGTAATCTCCTTCCAGCTTGACAGTTCTCCTTTCAGCACAACCTATCATCTTCCCTTTAGCCAGTTCTTTACCCACCCTACAATTCTTGAACCAATCCCCCTCTTAACTAACAATTGCCCATGTGATTTCATACCAAATGATGTACTAAAGTCCAAATACATTAGGTCCACTGCACTTCTCTTATCTAAAAAACCCAATTATCCTCTCAAAGATATCAGTTTAGTCTGGCACAATCTACCTTTGGTAAACCTTCGTTATATTACATTCCCTTTGCCTAATGAATTTAATTATTCTTTAATTTTTTTGTAAGCCTTGTATACTACTGAAGTCAGACTAATGAACCTGTAGTTGCCTGGATCACTTCACCCCCATCCGCTGCCTCCTTAAATATAGTTACAGTGTTATTCATTCTCTAGTCATAAGGTACTACCATACACATTGACAGGTTTATTAAAATTCCTTGCTACTGAATTAACCATTTCACGTACCAGTTTTCAGTAGTTTGGAGTGGAAACTATCTGATCACCACAATTTGAGTGTCTTAAGCTCTTTTAAGTTTTGCTTTCATCTCAGATGTGGTAATACCCCCCTCACACACATAAAACGGGTGAGCTGAGAACAGTGGATGTCAGAGAGACCAGAAGAGAACACTCAGTGAAATAAGTTTCAGAGTAGCAGCCGTGTTAGCCTGTATCCGCAAAAAGAACAGGAGTACTTGTGGCACCTTAGAGACTAACAAATTTATTTGAGCATAAGCTTTCATGGGCTACAGCCCACTTCATCAGATGCATAGAAGATACAGTAAGAAGATATATATACATACAGAGAACATGAAAAGGTGGAAGTTGCCATACCAACTCTAAGAGGCTAATTAATTAAGATGATCTATTATCAGCAGGAGAAAAAAATGTTTTGTAGTGATAATCAAGATGGCCCATTTCAGACAGTTGACAAAAAGGTGTGAGAATACTTAACACGGGGAAATAGATTCGATTTGTGTAATGACCCAGCCACTCCCAGTCTCTATTCAAGCCAAAGTTAGTGGTTCCTTTGGGGGCCTCCTATGCTTCAGATTGGCATGCCAAGCCAAGTCCCTTCACTTCTCCCTACACTAGCCTCAAAATAGGAACTTTTAGGCCACTTCCTGCCTCCAGTTGGTAGATGCACTCCTCACAGCCCATTGACTACCACCTTCTCTCCAGCCCTACATGGAGGAGCCATCAGGAAGACAGAGCTGGTAACTGACTGGCAGCAAGGAATGGCCAGGAAGCCTCCTCGAGCCCTTAAACTGTGCCTTCCATCAAAAATGAAGGGAATTTGCTGCAAAAACTTGCTACCCTCCCTCCCCCGAATACAATCTTAACTCCGCTCCTTTTGAGTGATGTCCCAACCAATACCTCAGCAATCATAGGCCTGTATCCTTCTGGAGCATGTTGTTTTTTCTTAAGGATAGGTGAAGTTTGGTTTGGTCTCAATGTTTACTGCCAGCTCCAAGCAATGCTAAGAGAGTGTGCAAGACATTATCTTAACTCTGCATTTCTTGGTTTTCAGAGGTTAAAGTTAATTTTGGAATGGCCCAATGCAGTGTTAGACAACCTGAACTCTAGATTAACAAAGTTTTTGGTAGTGAATTATAGGTCTATTGCAAGTACCAGCATGACACTTGGTTAGATAACATCACTTTTTTTCTCCCCTTTCTGTCCATTGGACCCAAAAAAAGACAGAATAGGAGAGCCAGGGATGTCTGTCTTGAAACTGGAAGCCAATCCCAGAGCCTAGTGTGAGATCAAAGCCTGGTCACTAGCTTGACCGCACATTCATCGAGTGAAAGAAGTCAGACCTGCTTTGGTGTGAAATCATCTTCCTCTGCTGGAGTCTGCACTTAGATAAATGTCCCTGCATTAATTACATTTGGTTCATATTTAAAAGCTTCCCCCATTGTCCAACAACCATAAAGGCTAGAAACACAGCTTTTCTTCATGAAAGCTAAGATTCTGACTCATCACAAGACTGGGAGCCAAAGCCCAAGGTACATGCCTATAGGGCCTCAATTCTGCTGAAGGGCATATCTCAACACTACTGAAGGAGACCAGAAAGGCCTGTAAAATCTTATTTTGAAGATCTACACAACCTATGGTGACAACTCTTTCATCCTCAGCTTTCTGGAGGACCAGAGAAGAAAAATATTACTTTCCCCCCTTCCAATTCAAGCCACAGTTCTGGATGGCTGGATCAGAGCCAGCATAGGATAGCATACCAGAATCAGTTCATGCCAGGCTCCCAGTGCTATGCTGTACAGGAACCTGAAATTAGGCCCGGGGTCAGATGCAAACGAAACCCTGGCAGGGTATGTCTTAGAAAGTAGCTTGGAGCATCCCGACAGCCCAAGTCCTGTCTCTAGGCAGAACAGGCCCCAAGAGGAGCAGGGGAAGAGGCAGCACACTAAGGACCACGAGTTCCAAACTCGCTTCCACCACCAGGGGCTATTCCGTCCTTCACTTAGCAAGGACCAGCGGGAGACAACCCAGCTCCCCAGCACGCCGGGCCCAGCGCACGCCCCGGGACATGGCCTGCTGTGGGCACTACGGGCCTCAGGTGAGTGCAGAGCGCGCGGGAGGAAGGCGCGAGCCCTTCGCCCCAGCCCCAGGCACGCGACCCGGCAGGCTCCACTCTGCCCCTTCGCACACGCTCCGCCCACCAGATGGCGCCCTGGAAGAGGAGTTCCAGCGGGCGGGGTACGGGAAGAGCGAGCCTAAGGGCCCCAGAGTTCTTTCCCGTCTCCCAGCCTAAGGGGCAGCGCCCGCCAACCCCACCCATCACTAAGCCGGGACAAACACTGGCGAACCGTGACGCCTTACGCTCCTTAGGATAGCGTGCGCGCACACTGCTCCTGTGCACTGGGGCGCACGGACACAGAGCGTTCTGCGCATGTCCACGGTTTTCGCGCGAAAGTGGTTTGCGGCGCCCCGCCCCCGAGTGCCGCGCTCAGACGGAGGTGGGACCGATCGGCTAGTTCGGGAGGGGTAGTGGCGGCGCGCGGCCGGCAGGGGGCGCTCGGGCTCCGGCGCGCGGCGGCGGCTGCGCCATTGGCGGGTCGGAAATGCCGCCAGATGGCGGTTTAGGATTGCGGCTCCGCTGAGCGCGGCCCCCGCGAACGCCACCGCCCCGGCCCCGGCCTGGCTCCGGCCCGCACCCACCTAGACCCCACGCGCCAGCCGTAGCGCAGGCTCCAGGGGCGCTGCCCGGCCCGAGGTGAGCGGGGCGCGCGCGGGGGGGACGACTCTAAGGCGCCGATCCAAGATGGAGGCGCGGGGGGCGGGGGCAGCGGGTTGGGGCCGCTCGCTCGGTCTCCGCGGCGGCTGGGCCGGGAGCTGGCGCTGCCCGTGCGGGGAGGGGAGGAGAGAGAAGAGGAGGCGGGGCGGCGCGGCTCCTGCCGGAGCAGCGGGTCCCCCGGGCGGGGCGATTGCCGCCATCTCATTGTCTCCGGCGGGGCTGCCGGGCGGACAGAGCGGCCTCTCCTGCCGCCGGGCCTGGGCCTTAGCGGCGGCGCGGGGATAAGGTCCCCCTGCCCTGCGTTGGGCCAGGCCCGCTGTTTCCTCAGCAACCCCTGGAGCTGCGACCTGCGGCGGGTGGTGGGAGCGCGAGCGGGGTTGGCGGCTCTGTCATCGCAAAGGCGGCGGGGGCGGCCGCGGGGTCGGCGGTTCTGTCATATAGGGGGGGGGGGGGGGCGCCGGGGGAGTGTGAGGGGGGGGGGGGGGGGGGGGGGGACGACGGTCCTGTGACCGGGGGTGGGCGGTGGGGGCACGAGTGTGGTTGGTGGCGCTCTGACCTGGGGCGAGGCCGAAGAGTGCAAGTGGGGTGTTTGGCGGTGCTGTGCCCTGGGGCAGGCTGTGGGGTCAACAGCGCTGTGACCTAGACTGGGCTGTGTGTGGCGGGGGTACAGCGCTGTCACCTGGCTGGGGCGGGTGGTGGGGGCTGTAATGCTTTCAGCTGGGGCAGGCTGCAGACAGTGGGAGCACAGGCAGTAGCACTGTTATCTGTGATGGGAGTGGGGTTAGTGGCACTGTGGTCTGGGGTGGGGTTGGGGTTGGTGGCAGTGCTGGGATCTGGGTGAGAGGTGGCCAATGGTATAGTTGGCTGCACTGTGAGTTGCAGGGGGAGGTGGGCAATATGAGTGGGGTTGGGCAGTGGTGTGAGCTGTTGAAGCAGTTTGGTAAGCAGGGGTGGGATTGAAGGTACTATGACATGGATTGGGAGGTGGGTAGCAGTAGTGGGTTGGTGGTTCTGTGACTGGAAGGGGGATGTGGGTGGTTAGCAGGAGCAGGATCTTTGGCAGTGCTGTGACCAGGGGATGAAGGGGCTGGTGGGTAGTAGGGGAGGGAGGTGTGCAGTGGAAGCAAGATTGGCAGCAAACCTGGGCAGGGATGTGGGCCACAGTAGCAATGGTGCTGGGATATCTGGGAGGTGGACAGCAGCAGCAGTGGTTGGAGGAAGACATAGGAAGCAATAACCTGGGGTTGTTGGGGTTAAGGATCATTGGCAGCCTCACTGTGACTTGGAGGGGGCAAGTGGGGGATATCTCTGGCGGGGTTGACACTTGGGAGGGACATAGTGGGTAGGAGTGTCATCAGCTTTGACCTGTGTGGATTGGGTGGAGGTGTAGTGATTTGTATGTCTGGGAAGTGGCAGCAATGGCATTGTAACTTGGTGGCACTGTGACCTGTGGGAACAATTGATTGGCAGTGGTGGTGGCAATACTGTGAGCTGGGCAGGGAAGGGAGGAGGTGGACAGCAGGGCATGCCCTGTGAGCTGGGGGTGAATTGGGCAGGAATGGCACTGATGCTGTGGACTTATGGTGTGGTGGGCAGAAGCTGTACTGGTGGTGCTGTCACCCATAGGGGTAGGAGGGATATTGGAAGCAGCAATGGTATGGTGACCATGATGGGGGGTGGGCAGTGGTGCTGTGACTGGAGGTGGGTTATGGTCCATTGTGGCTTTGTGACTTGGGAAGCAGGGTGCCACCATCAACACTACTAGCACAGTACTCAGTGAGGTGAGGTGGAGGCAGTATCAGCAGCTTTATGGCCTGGGAACAAAAGAAAACATTGGGACTGGGAGCACTGAGATCTGAAGGTGAGGAAGGGGCAGGAGCAAGGTGACATGGTGTTAGCAGTGGGAAGAGGTGATGCTGTGACCTGGCAGAAAGCATGAAAGCAGCATAATGATGAGGGGAGCAGCACCATAGTGTGGTGACCTGTGGATGAGAAGATAAGGGCTGATGAGGCAGGGTAACTCGCTGTGTTTCCAAGAATTGTTTTTATTTCTCTGTGATTGCCTTGCACCACTCAAACTCCCCTCACTCCCTGGTGATCTGCAGGGATTCCCCCTGTCCACCCTTGCTTATTTTAATGGATGGGAGATCTTTGGCTTCTGACAAGGGGAATGTGAAGTAGTTTGAATTATAATTGCGATATAATTATTTATGGTTTGAATTATGTACTACAGGTAGGTTCTGTCTCTGAAATTAGGGGAGGCAGGGATAGATGAAGGCCTGAGTATATGGGTAATTAGTCTTGCTATTTCCACTGTCCAAGGCTGCAGTAAGGTAGCTGTTGGAGGTAAAGCCTTGTCTAGACTAGAGTTACCTGGGTTGTTCTTAACTTGAGTTGTGTATCTCAATTATAACAACATAATGGATCACATGTACACATAGCAGTCATGTGTCTAAAATTTTAGTCTCTTTCTATGTACATTGTTGCATCATTCATTCATGTTAGGTTCAATGATTTATGCATTCCAGAGTTCCTGGGCCAAGCTGATTTTGCATGGCCTTTTGAGAGGTCTCATTTGTTCATTTGCGGATTCTAGATGGCTAGATGACTTCAATAAATGATCTCAGGAATTCACTGGACTGGAAGGCTGTACCCTTATCAGCTACCTGGTTGTGAGCACCTTTTCTTGCCTGGGAGCTTGGATTCCTCACTTGAGTGCCTCTTGCCGTACTTTCCAGCATCTTATCTTTTCTCCAGCCAATGAGAGTTCTCAGTGAGAGTGTCCTGAGTAGATTGCTGATCCAGGAATGGCAATCCTAACAAGTGTGAATTATTGGTGAACAAGCTCCAGGAGATACTTCTCAGATATTGTGATTTCTTTTACTGATTAATGAAATGCAGTAGATTGAGTGGTGGTTCTGGGTCTAGTCCTCAAACATATTGTTGGGACTATTGGTTCTGGAGACCTTGGATGACCAGTAGTGAGTGCAGGCTTTCAGATGAACAGGGCCATGTTTTTGAAGTTGTCTGAGGAGTCCATCAGGCTCAGATGACAAAACCTCAATATCAGGTCAGATGGGTGCGTGTTACCCTTTATAGTAAGAGTCAGAGTCAGATGTTGCCAGTTTCCTATCTGTTGGGAATAAGTTTGGGGTTGGTAGGTTCATTGTGGGTGCCCTAGTCTGTGGGGTTTATTTGGCTATAAAAGTGCTGGGCTGTAGACATGTCGTGAAGGCGGCTAATGTCCCTGAAATCATTGAGGGGTTCTTGCAGCTGGGATTTCCAAACTGTACAGGAGCTATACGTGCCCATAATCTGCTGTCCACAAAGTGCAAATGAGTACATTAATAAAAAGGGCTATTACTCAATTGTGATTCAGGTGTTTTAGACCATTAGGAGTGGTTTATGGGTATAAATACTGCAAGTACTAGCAAAGTGCAGGACACCAGGATGTTTAGGAACTCTGCAGTATTTGTTTGTGAGCAGGCAGGAACGCTTTTCTGAAGAACAACATATACATCAATGTTCCCACTACTATTCTTGGGGACTTTGCTACCCACTGTTTCCGTGGGTCATTATGAGACTTACCCTGACTCAAGGCAGCCAGATAGAAGACGTCGTAACTACAACCTTGGCAGATGGATTGAAAGTGTTTCTGGACGGCTCAAGACATGATGGAGAAGCTTACTTAATCATAATGACTGGTCGCTACAAAATGTTCTTGCGGTGATAGGAACGTGTTTCTGCATATTTGACTTTTCCATCAGAGTAGTTGGCAAACACAAATGCCTTGCAAGCAGCTTTCAGCCAGCCCGAAAGCAGACTACTGGTTCATGGGTTTAGCACCAGGTGAGCTTTGGAAATTTGTATGGAGAGACTATCAATGCACTTTATGATTGGAAATGCATTTGCAATTACTATGGATTTTGTTGGGAACTGTGTCTGTCTCATGTTTCTAGCAGTAATGGCGATACATTTATGGATGATATATACTGTGTGATATTACCTGTGCATTGTTAATAAATGTATTTGTGCGGAGGCCCCCTCAAAGAATAATCTGGGGATGCACCAACTGTGCAGATTGCAGTGGTGGAATCTTTTAGTAGCAATGATCGTTGGAGCATTCTTCTTCCTTTCCCTTACAGTTCTGAACATTTGGAACTGAGTGCCTCTGTTCCTTCCAACTGTGGTAGTAGACTGACTAGAAACCTCATTCTGTCCTTCAGAATGGATTGTTCCCAGGGCTGCTGCCATGTTTCTAGTATACTCAGGTTTTAAATTTTATTTGTTGTTTTTACCAAAGATTTTTGATAGATTTTGGTAGGAATGCCTAACTGTTTTTTTTTTTGGAGCCTAAAACTCATTTTCAAAACAGATTTAGGCAGTTAAGAGCCTAAATCCAGAGTGCCTAAAATCACTTTGGAAAATGAGATTTAGGCTCTGAAATCAGGGATTGAAACACTAAGTGCAGCAGTGCCTAAATACCTTAAAAAATTTGGGCTTGAGTGGAGATCTGTGGTTCACACATGTTCTAACTGAAGACTTAGGAACAAGAGTTCAAGGTGTGCTTCTTGCCCTGCCACTTTTCTTGCTTCATAGCCACAGGTGCAAGGTTTGGCCTGCTTGGGGGAAGGTCATTCGCCGCCTTGTTGCTCTATGTGCAGTGCCTTCACCCCAGGACCAGAAAGGAACATCAGAATCACCTCCAGGCTATGCTATTGCATGAAGCGTTAGTGGCTAAACCTTCTGGCTCTGATATGCAGGAATACATAAGAGCTGGGAGACCAGTCTTAGTTCTGACCATTGAAGGGACGAAGAAGTCTGACAATGTTTTGCTGCAGATATCTGCTTCCTTGACTGAAGCTACACTAAACGTTCCAGTAACTATGAATCCACAAAAATCAGCTTTGACCGAGCACAAATGCTTGGTCTCTGCTGAAAAAAACAGTCCCCGAGAGCATATCTTGAAGAATCTGGCT